CATTCTTCTCAGCACCACATCACACCTACTCTAAAATTGACCACATAATTGGAAGTAAAGCACTGCTCAACAAATGCAAAACAACTGAAATCATAACAAACAGCCTCTCAGACCATAGTGCAATCAAGTTAGAACTCAGAATTCAGAAACCGACCCAGAACCGCACAGCTTCATGGAAACTGAACAACTGGCTCTTGAATGTTGACTGGGTAAACAACGAAATGAAGGCAGAAATAAAGAAGTTCTTCGAAACCGATGAGAATGAAGACACAACGTGCCAGAACCTCTGGGACACATTTAAAGCAGTCTCTAGAGGAAAGTATATAGCAATAAGTGCCCATATGAGGAGAATGGAGAGATCCAAAATTGACACCCTAACGTCAAAATTGAAAGAGCTAGAGGAGCAAGATCAAAAAAACTCAAAACCCAGCAGAAGACAAGAAATTACTAAGATCAGAGCTGAGCTGAAGGAGATTGAGACACGAAAAACCCTTCAAAAAATCAATAAATCCAAGAGCTGGTTTTTTGAAAAGATCAACAAAATAGACAGACCACTAGCCAGATTGATTAAAAAGAAAAGAGAGAACAACCAAATAGATGCAATAAAAAATGATAAAGGGGAAATCACCACAGATTCCACAGAAATTCAAACCATCATCAGAGAATATTACAAACAACTCTATGCACATAAACTAGTAAACCTGGAAGAAATGGATAAATTCCTGGACTCCTGTGTCCTCCCAAGCCTAAACCAGGAGGAAGCTGAAACTATGAATAGACCAATAACAAGGTCTGAAGTTGAGGCAGCAATTAAGAGCCTACCTCACAAAAAAAGCCCAGGTCCAGATGGGTTCACAGCCGAATTCTACCAGACACACAAGGAGGAGCTGGTACCATTCCTTCTAAAACTATTTCAAACAATCCAAAAAGAGGGAATCCTTCCCAAATCATTTTATGAGACCAACATCATCCTGATACCAAAACCCGGCAGAGACCCAACGAGAAAAGAAAACTTGAGGCCAATATCCATGATGAACATAGATGCAAAAATCTTCAATAAAGTATTGGCAAGCCGATTGCAACAGCAAATCAAAAAACTTATTCATCATGATCAAGTAGGATTCATCCCAGGGATGCAAGGCTGGTTCAACATACGCAAGTCTATCAACGTAATTCACCACATAAACAGAACCAAAAACAAAAACCACATGATTATCTCAATTGACGCAGAGAAGGCATTTGACAAAATTCAACAGCCCTTTATGCTAAAAACCCTCAATAAACTCGGTATCGAATGGAACGTATCTCAAAGTAATAAAAGCTATTTATGACAAACCAACAGCCAATATCATACTGAATGGGCAAAAACTGGAAGCATTCCCTTTGAAATCTGGTACTAGACAAGGATGCCCTCTCTCACCACTCCTATTCAATATAGTACTGGAAGTTCTAGCCAGAGCAATCAGGCAAGAAAAAGAAATAAAGGGTATTCAAATAGGAAAGGTGGAAGCCAAATTGTCTCTATTTGCAGACGACATGATAGTAAACCTAGAAGACCCCATCGCCTCAGCCCAAAAACTCCTGAAACTGATAAACAACTTCAGCAAAGTCTCAGGATATAAAATCAATGTGCAAAAATCACAAGCATTCGTCTACACCAATAACAGACTTCAAGAAAGCCAAATCAAGAGCGAACTGCCATTCGCAATTGCTACAAAAAGAATAAAATACCTTGGAATACAACTCACAAGGAACGTAAGGGACCTCTTCAAGGAGAACTACAAACCACTGCTCAACGAAATCAGAGAGGACACAAACAGATGGAGAAACATTCCATGTTCATGGTTAGGAAGAATTAATATCGTGAAAATGGCTATACTGCCCAAAGTAATTTACAGAATCAATGCTATCCCCATCAAGCTACCATTGACTTTCTTCACAGAACTGGAAAAAACCACCATGAACTTCATATGGAACCAAAAGAGAGCCCGCATAGCCAAGTCAATTCTAAGCAAAAAGAACACAGCGGGGGGCATCACACTACCGGATTTCAAACTATACTACAAGGCTACAGTAATCAAAACAGCATGGTACTGGTACCAAAACAGAGATATAGACCAATGGAACAAAACAGAGGCACCGGAGGCAACACAACATACATACAACTATACAATCTTTGATAAACCTGACAAAAACAAGCAATGGGGCAAGGATTCCATGTTTAACAAATGGTGTTGGGAAAACTGGCTAACCATGTGCAGAAAGCAGAAACTGGACCCCTTCCTGACACCTTACACTAAAATTAACTCCAGATGGATTAAAGACTTAAACATAAGACCTGGCACCATAAAAACCCTAGAAGGAAATCTAGGCAAAACTATCCAGGACATAGGAGTAGGCAAGGACTTCATGAACAAAACACCAAGAGCATTGGCAACAAAAGCCAAAATAGACAAATGGGACCTAATGAAACTCCACAGCTTCTGCACAGCAAAAGAAACAGTCACTAGAGTGGATCGGCAACCAACAGAATGGGAAAAAATTTTCGCAGTCTACCCATCTGACAAAGGGCTGATATCCAGAATTTACAAACAACTCAAGCAGATTTACAGGAAAAAAACAAACAAGCCCATTCAAAAGTGGGCAAAGGATATGAACAGATACTTTACGAAAGAAGACATATATGAGGCCAACAATCATATGAAAAAATGCTCATCGTCACTGGTCATCAGAGAGATGCAAATCAAAACCACATTGAGATACCATCTCACGCCAGTTAGAATGGCGATCATTAAAAAATCTGGAGACAACAGATGCTGGAGAGGATGTGGAGAAAAAGGAACACTTTTACACTGTTGGTGGGAGTGTAAATTAGTTCAACCATTGTGGAAGACAGTGTGGCGATTCCTCAAGGCCTTAGAAATAGAAATTCCATTTGACCCAGCAATCCCATTACTGGGTATATATCCAAAAGACTATAAATCGTTCTACTATAAGGACACATGTACACGAATGTTCATTGCAGCACTGTTTACAATAGCAAAGACCTGGAATCAACCCAAATGCCCATTGATAATAGACTGGATTGGAAAAATGTGGCACATATACACCATGGAATATTATGCAGCAATCAGAAATGATGAGTTCGTGTCGTTTGTAGGGACATGGATGAATCTGGAAAACATCATCCTCAGCAAACTGACACAAGAACAGAAAATGAAACACCGCATATTCTCACTCATAGGTGGGTGATGAAAAATGAGAACACATGGACACAGAAAGTGGAGTACTAAACACTGGGGTCTATTGGGGGGAAAAGTGGAGGGCCAGTGGGAGGGGGAGGTGGGGAGGGATAGCCTGGGGAGAAATGCCAAATGTGGGTGAAGGGGAGAAGAAAAGCAAAGCACACTGCCATGTGTGTACCTACGCAACTGTCTTGCATGCTCTGCTCATGTACCCCAAAACCTATAATCCAATAAAAAATTAAAAAAAAAAACAATAATGGTAAAAATAAATACTATCTATAGTTGTAAAGAGACTCAACTGATAATGTCTGTAAAGTGAACTGCAAAGCACAGGCAAGTGAATGATTAGACACTATTGTTGATTCTGTAAGGCACAAAAGTCAGTGCTTCTTATGATTCATGGTAATTTTTAAATGTCTTCTAAGTTAGAGAGCCATTCACATTCACAGCGACATTAGCTGACTAGTCTACTAGTGACTAGAGACTCTTCAGTAACTAGTTGACTCTTCCCTTGCCTGTCACCACCATCATTTCCTCTGTTCTAGAGTATTTACAACCCACAAGGGGTCTATCTAAAGGAGACAGCTAATAGCTAAAGGTATAATTCTATGCTCCAAAGTAGCAACACTAATTCAAGTATGAATAAAATGGCCCTATTCCCATAGATTGCTTTTTTTTTGTACAGAATTCTCCTTTTAATGTCTCCAGATGAACTGATAATTTTATTTTATTTTTGATTTTTTTTTTAGAGAGCTTACATTTTAATAGAGGAAGTAGACTGTGAGCTTGTAAATATGTGACTAAGCAAAATAATTTTAGAATATTTTAAGTGCTAAGAAAGAAATAAGCAGGTAATGGGTTGAAAAGTAATTTGAAATTAGATTGTGTGGTTAGGGCATACATCTTTGACAAGTTGTGACTCTGCTGCTAACCATGGGATACTTTAGGCTCATCTTGCCTTTTTTAGTTTCTATCAAATCTTAGTTTGCCTCTTAGTCTCTGCCTCCTATCCTAGATCTTATTATTCCTTTGAATTTAGAGTTGCTTTTTGTTCATGTTGGATTAACTATGTGGGATGGTTTGTTCAATTAGAAACCATCCTAAATTCCTGGCTCTAGGCATTTGGCCAAATTTCCACCTAGGAAAATTTTTGATTGGGGAAATCCATCCATAAACTGACATTTTAGACTTTAGAGAAATCTTAAAATGTTTATTTTCACCTACCTATTCTCACAAACATTTTCAAATTAATTTTTTGTGATTCCTATTATATCATTTCTGCCATGAACAGTTCCAAGATCAAATAATTAAATATTTTATCTTTTTTCATTGTAATTTCTTTAAAATATAAATACAAGCACAATTTTTCAGAAATTGCTTTTAAAAGTAAAAATAAACAGCATCTATTTCTCCCTGTTTTCTATGCCTTTCTTTTTCTAGACTTAGAGTAGAGTACAGACATGAGCTTCAGAGAATCTGCACACTTCCATAAATTATATAAAGCAGCATGGGTGCATGCATCTTCCTGGGGAAAGAGCTCTTGTTCTTCAGTCATGAACCATGACCCACCAAAGGTGAACAATAACTATAATGCCCCTTGCTGAGATAATCACAATGAATGTCTGTGATCTTAAGACCTACTTTTGAGTTTTCTGTGCTCTACTCCAAGGCTGCAGGTTTTCCCTTCTCCAGTAATTATATATTTGTTCACTGTCGTGGAAACAGCAAAAATCCAATGACTGGCACATCACTCACCTAGATGAAAGATAAATGCAGATGGATGAATCCTTAACATTCCCCTTTGATCTCCCAGACTACTGAGGTAAATCTCTGGAGTTTCCTTTGCAGGTCAGTTTGGAAGTTTCCTTTGAACAGCTTTATCTTTTCATTGTTATTGGATAAGAAATCACTCTACATTCTGTTCAGCGAGAAACACATTATTCTGTTGTAGCTGCATCGAAAGAAAACCATTTTCAAAATGAATATCATATAAAGAACAAATATAATTCTTGAAAGAAGTTTCACTCAATGAGGTAAACAGACAAATATATTGTAGAGAGATTTGTAGGGAACAAGGACCCTTGGTCACACAGTACTCTATTTGAGAGAGAGCAAACTCCTGTCTATAATTATTGGCATTCGTTTTTTTGGTTTGCATCAGATGTTATATTAAGAAAAGCACAAAATGGCAGAGCATTTTGGATACCTTTGAATACACAGAGGAAATATACATTTATCTCTCTGGCCAAATAAGTTATTTTCTGAGTGTAAACTAGTCCCTCTTAGAGTACCATTAACTCTTTGAGCATGGAAGAACTAGATGGATACAAAAATAGCACACCTGAATAGCATACTACATGAGCAGTTTATCAGTCCAATAAGATCAAAATCACTGTTCTATAAATAAAATAGTAACTGATGCAATGTTGAGCACATTATTTACTGCCCATGTTCTGTTAGTTGCTCTTGATGGCCTCCTTTATGCCATCATGAGCAAACAACACTCTGTCAAATGCAATGGACATGCGTCAAACCTCTTCTGCTCCAAAACAAACCCCTCTGAAGTGAACCTCTAACTTGAGCATTCCATAGCCTGAGGCTCGAGTTTCTCCTGACCACTCAGCAATGCAAGAATTTAGTGCAGGGAACTAGACACAACTCACAGGGCTCCAGGAGGTAGAAAAAAAAGCCATGAAAAATGGGAGAAATAAAGGCTGGCAAGGGAAAGAGAGGAAGAATGCTTTTCAATTAATGGGAGAGAAGGTGTGTCTATCAGCAGAGATCACTTTGAACACAGGCAGATCAAGCAGTGACCTTTAGGCTGTGACTTGAGGGGTTCAAAAGAGCTTTTCCTATTCATTCTCCTCCCCTTACCAAATTCAGATCCATAGTCCATTATTGGAAACTCAAGAAATCAGCTGTAAATTTGGAATTCTAAACTTTAGGGACTTCAGGTTGCATATACTTTACATTATTATGTAACATCCCATAGTAGGTATGGGGTAGCACCCCATTATCATATACATTAATATTTTTCCTGTATTTGTAATATTCATACAAAATGCCTGAGTATTTCCATTAAACATGATAATGAAGGCTACAAAAAGCCTCATGTCAATTCACAATAGCTTTGTACCTAATTAGGTTAGGTCAGCCTTTGTCACTCAACTATTTTCCCTGAATATTGCTATGTTACTTCATCCCAGCCTATCTTTTCCACCTCTTGCACATATGGCTTTCCATAAAAATTGCCAGCTGCCTAAGTGGTCCCTAGTTCTCCATATTTAATTTTATGTTTAAATAAAAATGAGCCCAGTTTCCGTCCAATGTAGTATGGGAAAGCCCCTCTTCTGCCACCCTTGCTGTGTCTCTACGTCTTCCCTGACTCATCCTTTCTGCTGGATTCCCCTACTCACTTACCTCTCGATTCTGGTGGCTGTTTCATTTTCTCTGCTTCATTTTTCCCAACTACAGAACACAATCTCTTTTCCTGAAATTGTCTAATGCAACCAAAGCAGTGGGGATAGAGAGAAGGAAACAGACACAGGAAGTGTTAAGGGGCCATCAAATGAATAAGAGTTGGCTTTCCTAGGCTGCAAGAAGTGAGGGACAGATGTTATCTCCTGGGATAGGGAGAGTAGTTAAGGAATAGTAGTATTTGTTGCCAATACAGATGCAAAGTAGTTCCACCAAAGATATCTTACATTAAATAACAGAATTTTACTGAAGATATAGAGAAAATGGGGAGGAGGTTATATCTTGACACAACACAGAAAATGAATGAAAAATTTTAATTGAAGAATTCACCTCCATTCCCACCACTCAGAACTTTCACTATGTTTCTTCAAAGGACTCCAAGTTCTGGCCATGATGCTGGGCTTCTTTCTACACATCTATGCCATCCAGTACTATAACCACTAGACATGTGACCACTGAGTGCTTGAAATTTAGCTAGTCCAAATCAGGAATGTGCTGTCAATGTAAAATATATTACTAAAAGCAATTTTACCTGTTTATAGTTTAACTAGAAAACTTAAAATTAAATATGACTCACAGTATGTTTTTATTGGACAGTGCTGATCTAAGTTTTTCTCGAAACTTCTCCTTCTCAGGAGTCTCTCTCCTCTTCTCCCTGTCTTCTTTCAGAAACTCAAAAGTTCTCCCATTTGGTACACTAAGCAAGCAATACAGCTCCCTCCTGATCTCAGCCTATCTTATCTGGGCCAAGCCCAGGAGGATGGGGAAGGAAGGCTGAGAAGGGAGTGTAGGAATCAGTTTCTTTCCCATTTCATTCTCAGGGTGGCCATTAGGGTCCTCTCTTAAACAGTGTCTCCTCTCCAAAAAATGAATTCTGCTGCTGATTTTAAAATATAAAAATACTCTTTCTACTACATACATATATAGAAAATCATACTTATCAATCATGAACTTTTCAGACTCCCTGTAAAATATAAGCAACCTGAAATTCTTGACTTAAGACTTTTTGTTGAACTGACACGAAAAATCTTAAATGATGCCTGGTTCTTTGTTGGAGTCTCAGAGATCCCAGGAACAAGACTGGGAAGGAAAGCAAAAGGAACCTGACACCCTTTAGGGAGATTTTAATCAAGATACAGCAAGGGCTAATGAGACAAATCTGCCTGTTGTTAGAGAACACCTCTTTATTTACTCATTGCGTGTGTATTGAGCTCTTCCAGGGTTGAGAAGCACGGTGCTGTACAGTAAGTGCTCAGAATACTCAAGTTCTCTGGAGGCAGCATCCATAGACTGTGTTTGTTGCTCATCATGGCCAAGAAATAAAAGTGCATGCTTTTCTATATTTCCATAACTGAAAACTGTCACCTTCTGATGATATATCTTGATGATTGAAAAATGAGTCTTATTAATAGTCACCTTTCAATTAGAAGAGAAAAATAAAGATAAGACACTGCCGATATTAAAGTTACACAAATGAGGCTAAAAGAGAAGAAAAACAGAAAGATAATGCCACAGCTTACTTTTATCTCTAGAGCTAATAAAAAATATCTTGCCTTTTTCCCTTGAAATCACCTCCCCACTTTATGTAACTTAAGAATTTGGGAAATGTAACAGAGTATAATTACCAGCTCTTTCTTTTAAAAATAAAGATAGAAGAATAAAAAGCTCACCATGCTTCAATAAACACCTGCAAAAGCTACAGAAATATCATTAGTTCTTTATGAGACTTGTGAAGCAAACTATTTTTAACAATATCAGGATTTAATTTAATCTTTGTACACTTTTTCCTGATGGTAAATTTAGTAAATTAGGTGAACTTAAAGAAGTTATTCTATGTATACTTATTTCATACATGTGGGAAAAATCACTTATTTACTAAAATTAGTGATGTCCATTATATTTACAAAGATACCAGTTCTTCTCTTTTAGTCAGAATTTCACATAATTTAATACTTAAAATGATCAAGTTGATATTACATAAATAGTAATGATTTATGTAATCATTAACTGACAGTACATATTTTCTATGAGCTAGGTGCCATTCTAAGGGCTTTACATATGCTGACATTTAATTCTTACCATAATAGTAAGAGGTAGGTATACTTCTTAGCCACATTTTATATATGAGGAGACTAAAGCATAGAGAGATGAAGTAACTTCCCCAAGATCATCAGGTAGTTAATGGCAGACCCATGGGGATCCTAACCCACTATATTATTACTAAAACTAATTTTACCGGTTTATAGTTTGTTTTAACATTGTACCTTACTTTTTAACATTGTGCTCTACTTCTTAATGAAGTAATGAAGAAATTAATCACCATTTGATGTATTTCTTTGTTTACTTAATGATGGTAATACTGTCTGAAATCTTACATCTTCTGATTAAGCTGAACACAAATAGTTAACAAAGCAGACATCAAAAGCAATCTGTTTCAAAACTAAACTCCAGGTACAGTCACTCAGGACCCAAAGAAACCAGTAATTTACCTCTGAACATCATATCCAGTTGTATTGATCCTAAAGTTGAAATAAAGACAATTGTTGGTAAAATGAAAAACTACTCAAACAATGTAATAAACATGCTCCCAGAAGACATCTATCGTATGAAGAAGATCAGTGCTAGAATCCACATGACAAATGAGGTAGACTCAAAATGTCATCACTAGAGAGAACAAAGTAAAAAAGAGAGGCAAGGCAGGTGGAACCAAAGTGAATGTGACGTGATTATTTGTTGAATGTAACAAGAGAAGAATACAGTACTTGGGATTCTTGCCCAGGGCTTAAATAACATGGTAAGAGAATGATGATGTCTGGCATCCACTCATAGGAAACTGGAAAGGAAAGTCTGAGGATAAAGGTCATGAAATCAGTTTAGGGAATGTTCAGTGTAGGATGTTAGTAGAACATTCAGATGGAAATATTTTAGAAGTGGTGGGAAGAGATTGAGCAGTTACATGTATATTATAGTTTAAACTATAGGCATACTACTCCTAGGCATGTTTTTAAAGGCAGCCTTCCTAAAGTGATTTTGTTGGATTTAAATTTCTCTAACATTCACTAAGCATCTACTATCTTTATGGCACTCTGATAAGCAGAGTGGGACTTCAAAAAGGCTTTAAGTATATTTTAATTTTATACTTCCTCAAAGAGCTCGCATTTGAATAAAGTACGAATAACTCGAAATCAAAGCAGAATATGACAAAAAACCATAAAACAAACGAACAACAACAAAAACCTAGTGGATCAAAGAAAAGAGAGTGCACATTAGCTGGAGAAATCAGGCAATATTTAAGGAGGGAAGTGGCATTTGACCAACACGCAATACAAAAAAAAGATGCAAAAGATGAAGTTGTGCCATGGAATTTCAACACTGAAAATTCTTACTTGGAGTAACCAATATGTGATTTAAGGCTCAGTTATAAAGGACAAAATTTATACTGACTTATTTAAATAAAAAGGGATTGCCACCGTT